AAAAAGTACTTCTAATAAGACCTATTTCCTAACTCTTTCCCATACCAGACATACGTAACTGTCTGGGTGGTATGATAGTACGTGCAAAACTCATAGCCTGTTTTGCTCACTGAGAGCTCATTTGATCCCCATCATAGACAGTTACTAAGAAAGGAAAGAAAAAGGCAATCAATGTAACATACTTTCTGTTTTAGCTATGTATTAATTGCTGTCGGATGTGGATAGTACTTTTATGTTGATCGTGTAAAATTTTTAATTAATCAATTCATTAATGCACGTAGTATATCATTAATGGATTAGACGAAATTGAAATTTTATCTGACTGATTTCAATTTTTTCTATATGGAGAATTTGAACCCGTTGTTTTTTGGCAGCGTTTCACGTTCTCAAAAAAGGCGAATGGTATTCTAATTTAATTTGATCCTTTATGCTGTAACGAATCTAATATCCTGGGCATTTATATTAGCAAAATACTTTTATACAATGCCAAGATGATAAAAAATTTTTTAAATAGCCTTAAAATGAGTGGTATTTGCAATTATTCGTAATTTTTAAATGCTCTTCAGGTGCTATTAAAGAATTAATATAAATATTGTGATAAAACCCAGTAATCTTATAATAAAAATTGTTAGCAATATTACAATAATAATTATCAGTATTAGTACTGTTAGCACAACTGATATTAACATAGTAACAATTATAGCAATAATTAAGAGCATTAGCCATTTCCTAAAACTCGTCATCATTAAACATTTAATTGTTTATCAATCCTTCATGATAGCACGATGTCCGATATCAAACTGTCCACCAAATGATTAATCTTTGACTTGCATATAATTTCTGTTGAATTTTTCTGTGAAATATTTTTTCTTTTATAACAATAGTTTACTACTTATGCAACCAAACCGTTAGACGTGGAAGAAGATAAGCTGGGTAAGCTAAGGTAAGCTAAGGCTGGATACTATGGTCAACATTTCGCACTTATTTAGATGACCTAATCTATATTTTGTAATATTCGCCTCCTTTTTCTTCTAGGATATTGACGTCTTTTGCCGAGCTTTATGCAGTTTAGGGTTATAATGAATGGATCAGTAAGGAATCATTGTTATTTGATGACAAAATATGCAAAGTATTCGGCTCTCATATACTTCAACATTTTAAAATTGCTAAACACCATGGCTAAATTTCGAGTTCATTCAAATGCAGCAGCTGTTAGCTTCATTTAAATGAATTCTCAAAACGAATTCTATCACGCATACATGCAATTGTGTAAGTTCTGTTATCAAAACAGAATTTCCACTTTATTTTATTCTGAATCAGAATTGATCATTTTTATTTTTTTCAAGTGTTCACTTTTTCCATTTTGCTTCAAATTGTCGCAAATGATACGATTAATGATTCATTGCAGATCGCTTCAATACGTTCATGAATTGTCAATCGTTAATCGCAATTTTTTATTTTATCATTTCCTTCTTATTAGCATTTGAACAATTAGAATTATACTTTAGAAAAACAGTATGTAAATCCGTCTGTGTCTTCAATAATGTGTTACACACACGCAAAATACGTATGATGTGCGAAGACATCATCGATGAAATCGATTTTCTTAGCATTATTCTATTGCACTTAAACTTTGGGTTTAAGTTAAATAAAACATATAACAATAGAGATATGAGGGAATTTGTCACAGACAAATTTACTAACTTATAATTGAGACAATTGTTACAAATAACTCATAAAATGTGAAAGTTGGCTGACCTTTTTGTTTTCCCTATCAATTAATCTTTTTCGTTAACATTTACACAACTTAATCTGTTTGTTCTGAAAACATTGCTTCCAACAAAATAAATAAACAACAACGATTAACTTACCAAAGCTTCGAAAGGATGGTATTT